CATATTCCTGACAACACTAAACACTGTAATTTTTCTAAATCTTTGTCACATTGATAGTCAGAAATCAATCTCACCGTTTTAATTTGGAATGCCTCTATTTTCTTTTGGAAGAAGATAAAAGCAAACACTGAGAGTGAAGAAATAGATTAAGGACAAAAGGGAATGAAAATGTTTGGAATGGGCACCACAGGAGAAATCAAATCAGGGAGAATAAAAGAACTACCAATAAAAGAGTCCTAAGTACCAGCCAATGTTGGAAATCAATTTGCGACAGAGACAATAAACATTTATATCTGACTTGTTCTCAGTGTTTGAGAGATGAACACTGGAATGGAAAAAAGTAATTGATAATTTTATTGCTCCTATACAAGTAAACAACAGGAAAAGTAAAACAGATCATCAAGGGAGGGAAGGTGACAGAACTATGAATACGAGTAGAAGCAGAGTTTAAATGGACTACCAGGAGGTTTACCTAGTGTAGAAAAGATGGTAGCTAACAGGCTTCAGGAAGAAGAAAGGGTCAAAGACACTGGCAATAACAGAGATATCAAAGAAGGATTTATCTGTTGGGGAGAAACTAAAGATACAAAGTTATACTCAGAAAGGGAGATTTCAGGGTCTGATATTCCGTAAGAAAATTACTATAAGGGATTACAGAATTCAAAGTGCACTCATCAGCAGAGACACAGATCTGAGGTAGAAAGGTTGAGGAATTTAAAAAGGGTATTGAATCGGTGCCCAAAATAATGGCAGAGGCAAGGTGAAGATGAAAGCAGTGTGTACCAAAAGTACTCAAGGAATGTGGAGCATTAACCAAGATGCTGGCCAATGAGGAAGAGGGAATAATAACAATATTCACATGGGACTAAAAATGATGCCTGATAGTCTGATGTTTGAAATGTAGTAGCATCAAGGTCCAGATCTGTGTGTCCCAGATCTGGACCAGGTCCAGATCTGTGTGTCCCAGATCTGGACCATGGAGGAATAGGGAATAAAGAGGATTTTTTAAAAATTTACGTTTTAACTGAGGTGAAGAGTAAAGAATATAAGTATACGAGGGCACAAGTATAAAGTAAGATCACAAAATTACTCATTTTAGAATTCAAGTAGCAGAAGAAAGGTTTTGCAATATTTTCTTAGCTCCCTTTATGAGTATTAAATTAAGATAAATCGTTATTTCTGCTGTCTTTTTAAAAAAAATACAGAAATACGTGCTCGCTTCGGCAGCACATATACTAAAAAATACAGAAATAATTTTAAGTACAAATCCCTCCTTTGAATATTTTTGCCATGCTGCTAATTGAAAAGAATAAAGAGACACAGTATACCAAGAGCCATGTTTTTATAAAATGAAAAGGTGACACACAAGCACTTTTGTAGGGACAGCATTTTGGATTTAGATTCAATAAGGCAATACAAATAGCTAGACAGTCTATGAACATATCAATTTTTTCAAATAAGTGAAGATGAAGTGAAGTGAAGATGAAATTAATATTACAATATTAAATGCAGCTAGGAAATACCCATATAAAAATAGCTACCACTAACTAAAGACCATACTATTTTCCTTTCATTTCCTACAAACTAAACTAGTGAGAAATACATTTTGAAAATGCCATCCTTTGGGGCGCCTGGGTGGTTTAGCTGGTTAAGTGACTGTCTTCGGCTCAGGTCATGATCCCAGGCTCCTGGGATCGAGGCCCGTATTGGGCTCCTTGCTCAGTGGGAAACCTGCTTCTCCCTTTCCTTCTGCTGCTCTGCTTGTGCTCTCTCTCTCTGTCAGATAAATAAAAAAAATCTTTTAAAAAAAAATGCCATCCTGAAAGTCTCCTTGATTTACATTATTTTTAAAATAATGTTAAATCCAAAGAACTATGTAAAAAACTAAAAATGTTGAAAAGCAAAAGGAAATAACTCAAAGCTGCAATAATACAGAATGTTGTAAATATAGTATATTCACTTTTAGAATTATGTTTCAAAGAATGCTCAACATCACTAGGCATCAGGGAAATACAACTCAAAACCACAATGAGATACCACCCCAGTCTATGAGAAAGCACATTAACATTTAATAAAGAATAAAGGGGTAATTATGAAGAATAAGGAATTCTCTAAAAAAAGAAGCATACCCTAATAATGCCTCTGATACTCCTGAAAATAATTTAATAATATTCTTGTATAAATAAGTAGACTACAATTTATTGTGTAACTGTTTAACTTAGGAATACTTTCTGGATAATTTTAATTATCCAGATTACTGATTACTGAATAACACCACAGTGTTGTACCCTCTTTTTAAAAAATTCTTAAAATAACCAAAATAAGGCCTATGTTAGTAGAATTTTACACGAAAAAGCAACCTGTAATTAGAAAATTATGTGATATCTCAATATTTGAATAGTTCATAAATATACATGAAATTACAGTATTGACATTTCTACCAATTCACATATTATGAAAATTTTAGAAATTGTGATCAGTATGAAATTTAAATACAGTATGTACTTATCACACTGTTCTCTAATTGTTAGTTGTGATCCACCTCCTCTGTAAACTCTACTAAGGCAATTATTATATCCCATATCCACAATGGCCAGCAGAGTACCTCACATTTTATAAGAACTCATCATTTGTATATAAAAGCCACATCATTTCAGGGGAAAAACCCAAAAATCTAGAAGTAATTCAGATCCTCTTAAAGATGTCTTATTTCTAGACTGCCCTTTAAATGTTCATCCACTGGTTTAAAAAGTCTGACTCCTGAAGTGAAGGAATCCACTTTGGATCTTGGAATTTGAAATGTCCTTTTTTCCCCCCCTAGAAAATGGTTTTAATCAAACAAATGTTCATATATTCATGTTCATATTAATATCTGGGAAAATATAAAAGTATAAGAATTAAGATGCTTATTAAAAAATCAACTGAAGATAATGAAATTTCACTTTAGATTCTTCCCTTTACTTCAGGTAAGTTGAATTTTATTTTCTAGAACTTCCTGTAGAGTCTACCAAAAAAGACCTCTAGGATATATAATATACAGTAAGGCTGGATCTAAGGATGACAGAAATTAAATGGCTTGTTCATAATAACAGAAAATAACTTTAAGGTTTTCATGATTTTGTGATGACTAGTGACTATGGTTACTAGTCTAATGACGAGAGTTTCTGGTCATGAAAATATCTGCATATAATTAACAATAAATCAAGATTTATTCAACAATAAACCCATGAATAAGTCATGTTACACTAATTTCTGCCTTTTCCATAAACAATTTTGCAATGTAGCTCCTGATGGAAATAAAATAATTATTTTCTTTATCTCTTCATATACTATGACTTGCACCAAAAGGTAACAGAAGATAATGCAACTGAAGTGTACCCACGCAAACAAAAACAAATACATAAGTGAGATAGCAGAGATAGCACAGGAGTAGTAACAGAGGAAGGATCTGATCTCACATCTGCTACTATCTAGCTATTTGATCACAGACAAGTTACTTAACCTCTTTGGACCTTAATTTTTCTCATTGTGAAATGAAGATATTATTCTTAAGTTGAAAGGATCACTTCCCAAACTGTTCTAAAGATCACTTTCTAAGATGTCAATGGATAAATTTTGGGGGTGGAAGGTAAGGGAGCAAAAGACAAAAAGGTTTAATAAGTTTTGGACACACTGTATACTAATAAGAAAGTGATGCTCTCAATAGCCTTATGGCCAAGATGCACAGTGTGGTCGGCAGCCTCTAAGATACCTTCCAATGTTCTCTAACTTTGACACTCATGCTCCTTTATAATCCCTTCCCCTTAACTGTGGGCTGAATTTATCGCCTCATTTATAATAAACAGAACATGGCAAAAGTGGTGAGATTACTCCTGAGATTAGATTATAAAAAAACCATGGCTCCCACCTGAGGTGTCTGCTCTTAGCTGCCATGCTGTGTGGCAGCCCTGCAGAAAGGCCCCGTAAGTAAGATGGGAGCAGATATTTGGAGGCCTGTCAATAGCCATGTGAGTGGAAGTAAATCTTCCCCAAGTCAAGTCTTCAGATGAGATGGCAAAGCCTGGAAGACAACTTGACTGCAGTCTTGCGAGAGACCCTGAGCCAAAACCACCCAGCTAAATTGCTCCCAAATTTCTAATTCCTAAACTAGGTGACAAGAAATGTTTGGTTTTGGCTGTTAAGTTTTAGAGTAATTTGTTACATAGAAATAGATAACTAATAGACCCAAAATGCCTGGATTTTCTCTTTCCAGTGTGTAAGCCACAACAAGATACAGGTCTACACTAACAAGCTTAGGAGAAAAAAGAAAGCTTACCACTTTAACTGGACTTGTTAAGAACTACGCTTTTCCTGGTCTTACTTAAAATACATAGGCTAGGCATGACTGTGTGAATTTTAGCAGATAGAGACTCTGTCTTGTTAACAAACACAGTCCAGTCAACATCTAGACTCTGGACAATGAGGGTAATTATTTCACCCTGAGATGACTAAAAAAGGAGACTGGTAGAAAAGTTTAATGATCCCTTTCTTTATTGTGTAACTAAAGCACCTCTACCATGAAAGAGTCCCATAATCAAATCAATAGGAGAAATACTGCCTAATTATCATCCATTTACAGATGTTCAATGCACATTACATGTTAAAGATTCCAAAAGGTTTGTCAGTAAAAAGAGCTATTTATTTAACACAGCATTTCTCCAAACTAATGACTAAACCTTTTTTTCTTATAAACACTCCCTAAATTTTGTGTAAAGTGAATCTTAGAGAATCTCTAAAGACTTTTTCTTTCCTTTCTTTTCCTTTCCTTTCTTTTTTTTAAGTAGGCTCCATGCTGGGCCCTAGTGCAGGACTTGAACTACTGACCCTGAGATCAAGATCTGGGCTGAGATCAAGAGTTGAATACTTAACCGATTGAGCTACCCAGGTGTCCCTAAAGCCTTTATTTTCTAAATAAAATGTTGTAGGATTATATGCTATATAAAAAGCTTCTGACATCTTACCTTGCCAAGTTGCTGTAGAAATTTCAAGTGTCTCTCTTCAAATTGTGTAGGGTCTCGGTCTTCAAAAGCACCAGAAAACCCTAGGGCACCTATTCTCATATTTGGTAACATATCATTTTCTGTTAATAGTTCATAATCTGGAGAAATAAAGTATATTGCTACCATAAGCTGGCAAATTACATTTTTTGAGTTAAAATGATATATATTCAAGCTAACCAAAATAATCAGAATGAGTCAGAAATACTACATACAAATTGACAGAGGACAACTCTAATAGTTTAAGCTATATTAATGACAGTCTTTTTTTATTACCCATAACCTAACAGGCTTTTAAAAAAGACTTTTGCAAAGGATAAATAATTTCCAACATAGGCAGTTTTGGTATTTATAATATTATTTTGACTTTTTTGATGAGAATGGCAAGTAGTATTGGAACAGGAAATACCTATGGGTCAGACATATAAATTTTATATTTACATTTTATAATGTATAATGTTTATAATGTACATTCAGCTATGTATTTTACAGGACTGGATAAACAAAAACAAACCTATTTCATGTTTAGAAAACCACTCAATTATAAAATATACAAGCAGTTTAAAAATTGATTTTAAAAAGTCAAATAAGCCAAACAGACTTCGGGAGTACAGTATTCATTAACTGGTAAACTAAAACGGGGTTTTTGAAGAAGAACTCTCCATTAAAAATGGAGAGACTGTTTAACCAAGAGGAGTAGAATATGTATAAAATAGGAAAAGTCATACGAACATAAGAAACTAAGAAGATCTAAAAGACACTATACTGTATACCTGAAACTAATAGAACACTGTATGTTAACTAACTGAAATTAAAATAAAAACTTAAAGAAAAAAGACAAGGAACTTCCTGCAAGAGATTACAAAATTAGTAAAGATTTGTTAAATACAATAAAGATAGAAAGATAGCTGGAATTTCAGTAACACTATTCCATCAATACGTACCTGGAGTAAACAAACTATTAAGATCTCGTATGATGGCTCTGAAAGAAGGTCTGAAATCTGGTTCATAATCCATACAATTATTAATAAGATTTGCTAATTCTGTCCACTTTGGTGCAGGAAGCTGGTGCCTATCTTCGTAAAACTGTAGCTTCTATAATTAAAGAACCAGATAAGAATAAATTGTAGAATGTGATATCAAGCTTATTCTTTAATGACAGGCTAGAAAGATACCAAGTCATGTGAATGAAAATCAAGGATCACAGAGTAATTCCAACGTCACAGTCAATAAAAACTTACTCTTTGAGAATCCAAAGCACTCAGAGGTTTATCTCCTCCACTGCAGATTTCCCACAAAGTGGTACCAAAACTCCATTTGTCTGTTGCCAAATTTAGATTTTTAGGATTTTCAATGCATTCAGGTGGTACCCATGGTATTCTCTCCTGAAGAACTTTTAAATTATAGGAACAAAGTATGGTAAAATAGTTCCCACAAGTAAACAATTTTTTTATATGCAGATAATTTTCAAACTCATTTGAATAATCAGGTCTTTTTTGTTCGGAGTTGGGTGTTGTGTGCCTCATACAAGCAGGTGTATACACTTAGGAGCTGGAAGGGACCTTGGAGAGCATCGAATTTAATATCTCAGATTAAACAATATTAAAACTGAGACCTATAAAGACTAAATAATTTGCCCAAAGTCACAAAATTTGTTAGTAGCATGGAGAGAATTAGAATTTTACACAACAAATCCTGGATCATCTAAACTTCCTTCCATTAAGTCACCATGTCTCATCTCGTGTCCATGTCTCAACTCGTGTCCTACTCTCTCTACCCCAAATTTTTTCCATAAAATTTGTCCTAAACTGCCTTTGGATTTTTTTTTTTTTATATTTCTTTACAATGCCCAAGTAGTAAAGGTAATGTTAACATCATTCTGAGCTGTTCTAATGACTAAACAGCAGTGGCAATTCTAACTTGTACATGAGAAAAGAAGGACCAACAGACAGATGAATGACTGAATTATACCAAGATACTATGAATACAGAACTGATATAGGTAGTTTCTACTAAGATCAGGGAACTTCCCCATAAAGTTGCTACGGTCTTTGACCCCATCAGAAAAACGCTATTCAAGGAAGGAGGGAACAATTTTAAATCCACTTTCTGGTAGTCTGGCATGGATGCACAGATAAAGCAAATAAAATAATATACAAGAATGAAGGATAATCTGTTTTATGTTTTCATATATTTTGCCAAAGCAATATGAATATTTTTGCTGTATAATTAAAAGATTAAAGAGTACAGGTTCCTTTCTCTTTAACCACATGAATAAATTTTCTCTTTCTTCATTTCCACTCCAAAGAGTAAAATTTTCCTGAATATACATTTTAAGATCCTATAACATTTTCTGCTGTATTATCTGTCTTCACCGTCAGATAAGCTATCAAGTTTCAATATTCTTGGTTCAATAGGATACATCAATGCACAGAAGTTTATCAATTTAAAGTCTGTGTTTAGAATATGCAATTAGAGAAATTAGCTAAGATAATGAGATATAATTATACCATTATTAGTACCAAAAAAAACTTTCAACTATGTGACTGAAATTTTTACTTTAATAGTGTTAAAGAGAAGGCTAACAAACACAAAAGAAAGATGTTTTCTAAGTTTTTAGAAGTCAGAATTAGCTGGATAATTAAATAAGATCTCAAAGTAGATAATATATCTTCTCAAATTTTTACTTAGTGACTGAAGAAAGAAAAATTTACATAATTTACTTGTGGTTCAAAAATGTATTAGAAAACGTCACATTAAAAAATAGATAAAATCTGAACTTCCATTCAAGTAGGGATTAAAACTGTTTTAAAAAATCATCTTGCAGTCCATAATAACATGCTTATAAGAAAGAAGAAATGGAGAGAGACTAGGATGTAACTATAACTTAATTTGGATTGCTAAAAATGGTGGTTAAGTTTTCTAATTAATCAAGAACATGTCAATAACAGAGCTTGAGAAAAAAATCAACAACATGCTTTTTATACTATTCTCCAAGTAAAGATGTGGGATCACTAGTGTTGTACACCTTAAACTAATGTAACGTTGTGGATCAACCACATTCAAATTTAAAAAAATTAAAAAAATAAAAAGTTAAATGCGTTTCCTGTAGAACTTACTGTCCTTTGGCAAAACTGTAATACTAATACCAGGATCACTAAGTTTGATGAAAGGAAGATTTCCTGTCTTCCTGTCTTCTTCTCTGATAAGCAGAATATTTTTGGCACACACATTTCCATGAACAAGTGCTTTTTCTTCCTAGTAAAGTTAAATGCACAGACATTCAAATATCAATCTACAAATATTTGAAAACTTGTCCCAACATGGATTCAAAGAAAAAAATACAACAGTATTAACTAGTAAACATTTCTTTGGACGCATGCTTTGAAATAAAGGTTTACGGCAGCGCTGTGCTTTCTGTTTTACTTTTCAAATGACACAACAATCTACACCCATAATGAAAAGAATATATTAAAACTACTCAGTGCCACTTCACTTTCTAAACCTGAGATTTTAAACAGTACGCCTTTCTAAAAAGTAAGTAAATATTGTTTCTGTTTTGCGGCCAGACACAGGTGCACTCTGAGGAGTCTGACCACCATTCTGCTTCTATGGCAACACCGCTTTCTCACCGGATATAATGTCCAATTGCCCACAAATACCCTAAGAAGGCATTTTCTGTGGGGATTTTCTGCTATCCATAAGTAACACAACAGGTTTCTGCATATTTTTGCATATTTTTCTGCATATTTTAAATTCTCTAAACCCAAGTGACACAAATTGTTCATCAACAATGTTAAGAGATTGATAAAATGACAAAACTCTTCCAAAAACATGATTTTATATAAATAAATATATGCTTAAAATAACCTCTTATCTATTTTTCAATGACTCAGCATTTATTTAATGTATTTCTTGGTCCTGAGTCAAGAACCTTTGTACATTGCTTCATAAGACAGAACAGTAAGTTTTTGATAGACTATTATACTTATTACTTACTAGAAAATGCATGGCCCATGCCAACTGTTTAGCCACTTCAAGTTTCCATAATATATTTATAGAATTTTTATTCTTTTTCAGATATGTATCTAAGGATCCAAATTTTACAAACTCTTGAACCAGAATATCTGCATTAAAATATAAAAACAAAAGGCTCAAGTACACTTACGATAAAAATATATGTAATTTTAAAATTATTTGTTATTATATTATATGTGGGTATTATAGGTAAAGAGATTAAATTATGCAAAATTCATTAAAGTAAAGAAAGCTTAACCACTATACACCATTGTATTCTGGGGTTTAGTTTATTCACAATAGCAAGATGGTGAAATCTAAACAATTACATATATACAATATTATATACAATTACATATATTATATAATTATCTATAACATATAATATATGTTATATACTGTCATTATTATGTTACTATATATTTTTATATTTACATATATATATTACTCCAGCATACCTCTATGTAGTAGTACTAAGTTATAGCTGTTTTTTTTTTAAACAAATGAAAATTTCTCACCAAGTTAACTTCTGTTCCATGAAACTACAGTAGTGTCCCCTGCTTATCCGTGGTTTTGCTCTCCACGGTTTCAGCTACTCGTAGTCAACAGGTTCAGAAGTAGATGATCCTCTTTCCAACTTACTGTCAGAGGGTAATAACCTAATGCTGTGTCATATTGCCCACCCATGTCCTTCACCTCATTTCATCTCAGCACACAGACATTTTATCATCTCACATCATTACAAGACCAAGAAGTGTGAGTACAGTACAAATACGATATTTTGAGAGAAACCACATCAACTTTTATTACAGTAGACTGCTATAACTGTTCTATTTTATTATTACTTATTGTTGTCATCTCTTAATTGTGCCTAATGTATAAACTCAGCTTTATCACAGATATATATATATATATATATATATATATATATATATATATATATAGGAAAAAACTTAGTGTATATAAGGTTGGGTACTATCCTCAGTTTCAGGGATCCATTGGGGGTCTTAGAACAATATGCTGCAGGGCGCCCGGGTGGCTCAGTGGGTTAAAGCCTCTGCCTTCGGCTCAAGTCATGATCCCGGGGTCCTGGGATCGAGCCCCACATCGGGCTCTCTGCTCAGCAGGGAGCCTGCTTCCCTTCCTCTCTCTCTGCCTGCCTCTCTGCCTTCTTGTGATCTCTGTCAAATAAATAAATAAATCTTTAAAAAAAAAAACTAACAATATGCTACAGACCAAAAGGACTACTGTATTTAGACATCAAAACTTCCTGAGATTCTTCTTCTATACATAAAAATTTACAACAATGTCTATTTTTGCAGGCATTAAGGAGAATTTGAGTTTGAACTCTATTCATCCTTTTAATTTATGCTGCCAAAAAGCAAAAATTAGTTTTGTACTGCTTTATCTTTAGAAGTGTATTTTAAATACACTATTAAGGTATGTTTTGCTTCTAAAAAGTCCTCACTGCCTTTAAAACAGATAAAAATCCCCAGCCCTATTAGTACTGACCAAGTTTCCAAAAGCCAAGACTGTTTCTACATTAAGACATGTTATTTAATAATTAAACTGGGTGGAGGGTTTATTTACAGTCATCTAGTACTAATTTGTAATGCAATAAGTTCAGGTTCTCAATTTCAAATCTAAATTTATTGAGATTATTTTACTGTTTCTAATGCTTAATAAACAGTAGGTTAATAAATGAGAAAAAAATTTGGGTTTTTTAATTATAAAAATGGAAATTAAAATAAAAAAACAAAAAAATTCAAGCAAAAAGTTTAACCACAGCATCACAATATATATATCTTTAAAGAAATTCTGACAGACTTTCACATCGTAATCCATGTTAATTCCTGGCCCAGTAAGTTAAGTGCCTATACTTCACCTTGCCTATGTTTCACATTTGTTTTTTTGTTTGTTTGTTTTTTAATTAATTTTTTTATTTCCAGTGTTCTAGAATTCATCGTTTATATACCACACCCAGTGCTCCATGCAATACGTGCCCTCCATAATACCCACCACCAGGCTCACATTTGTTTTAAAATGAATGATCTTGGGGCACCTGGGTGGCTCAGTCATTTAAGCATCTGCTTTGGGCTCCAGTCATGACCCCAGAGTCAAAGGATCAAGTCCTGCATCAGGCTCCCTGCCCAGCGGGGAGTCTGCTTCTCCTTCTCCCTTTGCCCCTCACCCTGCTTATGTGCTCTTTCTCTCTATCATATAAATAGACAAAATCTTTTAAAAAAATGAACTAAAGTGCATGCTCTTGGGGCATGAGGTGGCTCAGTTGGTCAAGCCTCTGACTCGGTTTTAGCTCAGGTCATGACCTCAGGGTTATATGATTGAGCCCTGTGTTGAGCCCAGAGTTGGGCTCTGTGCTAGGCGTGGAGCCTGTTTGGGATTGTCTGTCCCCATCTCCCTTGGCCCCTCCTTCCCCCAGATAAAAGTAAAAATAAAAATAAAAAGCATGACCTTACCTCAAATTTTGATTTTCCTTGGTCTAAAATTAAAATTACTTAGTTCTCACTTGGTATGTAACAACTTTGTTGTTAGTGACAAAAGTTAGTAACTTTGGACCTTGTTGGGTAACTAAAACAAATTTAATGAATGCTTTGCTGCCCAAGGTTAATTTAGAGAACAATCCATATACTAATAATTAAGAACTGACCACAGGTAAATTTATGGCAAGTGTCAAAAAAAGAAAGAAAAGAAAAAAAAACAATAAATATCTAAGAGTTACAATGAACAAAAGCTTAATAAAACTTTTTTATGTGGCATTTAAGATCTATTTTACAGATACAACTGATTGTTGTAAGTCTCATTATTTTATGTATCATAAAGAAAAACAATTGAATTATGACATGCCATCGACTTTATCACACTTCCCAATTTCAGGTATTTTTAAATGTGAAAAAAGTACATCACAGAATCAATGAAATAAACCTAAAAGCAAGCATAAGAACTGGAATTACTTGCTCTGAAACACTGTTTTCAAACTTTAAAAAAAATTTTATTTCTTTCTTCCCTTAAATGGAAAATTATGAGAAATGTCAATCAATAAAAAAGATAAATACAGAACTACTCTAGCTGGGAATAAGTGAGCAGAAGTCTCCATGACTGTAGTTAGATTTACTTTCACTTCATCAACCCCGAGATAACTGAAATATCTCCACAGAACAGATCTGAAAATCACTGCCTTTGAAATGATTATCAGTTTTCAAAGATATATGAAGAAATATTGCATAAGTATGGATGCATATTTAATCTACATTATGAAGGAAAATGGAGAATTACATAAATAATTTTCTGAATATAAAGTTCATGAGTTTTTACAAACTGTCTAAATTTAGACATAGAATATACTGAATATCCAATCATTTTAGTCAGTTCCATTAAAAATTCAGTCTATCATTTATTTTTATGTTTTTTTCAATAATTCCAAAGAAACTTGTACTGAAATAGCTAGTTATTCCAGTGATACCGAACCAGCCATAATTCGTATTGCTATGGTTACGAGGAAAGGTTGTAAGATGTTTGTTTACTCTAATACTCTACTATTTGGACATTTTAACATAAGGTATGTTAACTGTCTACTGCATTTTAATTTCATTAAATGGCTTCCTTTTTTAGAAGACATAACTGAACAGTTTTTGATTTCAACAATATTTAACTCTTCTTAAATTATGGTTTATAGTGATACTTAGTTATAATCCTGAAATTAAATTTTCTCTATAAACAAAAATAGATGCTCTGAGAAGGCATAACATTACCATAAGGAAGTCTGTAGTTTTACTTACTCTCCTCCCCACAGACACACACTCCATAATTTAAAACTAGATGCTTGTGAGAAAGCTGGCTCATCATGCTTGCTGCTTCAAAGAAAGACTAAGGAAAAGAAAAACATACAAAAAATGCAAAAGAATTATTTTGTCTATAAATGTTCAAAGGTCAGAAAGATACTGTCTGCTGTATGAGAAATGCACTCTCTCCTATTCCCAGCAGGACTACAGATAAGGCTGTGTTGGTTCCCTTATATGGACCTGTGACTGCTATCAACCTCGATGCTAGAGTTCATTCTGAGGAAACCCCTGAGTAAGCCTGGAATAAGAAATAGCAAAGAGAGAGCATGCAATAGTGGCACAGGGCCACATAAATGCTGCGAGATCAACAGCCTTGGACCCCCAGCACCTGGGAGAGAGCACAGAGGCAGACACCAGAGACAGTGATAAGGGACTCAAGTAAATGGATGAGAGCTTCAAATAACTTCTCAAGGGATTAAGAATGTTCTCTGTGCAGATAAAATATGATAATTATGTCAGGAGACCAGCATGGTATGACTATCACTCTAACTCAACCAACCTTTGACTAGAACTTCTGGGACAGTTGAGGAAGATCGAAATCACCAACACTGTGGTATTCTGGATTAGAAAAACACTCACTCAGATGTTTCATGTCACCTTCCACTAATATCATTTAAGACATTTTAAATGTCCTAAGTGTTTGTATGTCATGTTTTTGATGCCTTGCTATGTTAAGGATCCTGGCAACTAACGACTGGCTTTCTGCTGGCTAGCATCTCTGGATAATGTCCAGAGCCATCAATATTTCACCTAGAGTGTCCCTTAGTACAGTGCCTGTCAAAAATTTTAAAAAATAAGCTGTGAAGGAAATCTGTGGGACCCATAAAACATTGGAGAGCCAAGTTTGAAAGCTCCTGCCTTAATACATGCAGAGATGTACTAATACCCATAATACAATGTTAAGAGTAATTAATTTGGAAATAAGTTATTATCACAAAAATTCTAGGGAAGCCTTGGTGGCTCAGTCAGCTAAGCTTCTGCCTTCGGCTCAGGTCATGATCCCAGGGTGCTGGGATTGAGCCTCACATCGCATGGGGCTCCCTGCTTAGTGGGGAGCCTGCTTCTCCCTCTGCCTGCTGCTCCCCCACTTGTGCTCACTCTCTCTCTGACAAATAAATATAATCTTAAAAAAAATTCTATAATTTCCTATAGCCTCCCCCAGAAAGCATCCTCAGAAAGGTCCTTGAAATAATATAATTTCAAAAATTACAGTTTTGAAGAGATCCATGCATGAATGTGTTCTGTCAATATGAGAGCGTATGTTTAAATATCAGAAACTACATAAGCTACACAAAATATATACATACCTCGGAATAGTTTCTGTGAGCTTTATCCAGAACTTTTAAAAGAACTTCTGTTTCATGTAGTTGACCATAATCTCCTACTTCTCTCCTTATACCTTTAAAAATTTTTGTAAAAGTGCCTTGGCCAAGGCTTTCATTCTTCAAAAGAAAAAAGGGAAAAAAAAAAAAAAAAGAATGAAGAAAGATGTAGGAATTAGGAAACATGTTTAATGACAAGAGTTTTTAAAAATCCATGAGCAAATACTAATTGTATTCTGTAATAAAAGACAGAACAGAAGGATTAATGAATAAAGTACATTTTGGTTCTACCATGTTCTTAAACCCCCTGAAATTAGCTATAATTATCACTTTATTTTTACAGTGTCAGTGTTTACCTACACTTACTTATATACGAATACTTCTGTCTGCCTCTCGTAACAGAGAAGGCAGTACAGTATGGTCTATGGAGGCAGAAGGTGGATTGCTCCTCATCACCACTTCCTAGCTGTGTGACCTCAGACAGGCTTAATGTATCTCTCTGGGCTGCAGCTATCCTGGTCTCCTCCTCTGAGGAATGGGAAGAATCATTTTTCCATAGTGTTGTTATGAACAATAAATGAATGAACACATGAAAGCACGGAGTACAGTCCATGACATATAGTAAATGCTCAATTAAGTGTTCGTCATTACTACTATTACTAGAACTTCTTGCATGTCCTTACAATTGTTGAAAGCCTGAGCACTAAAGTAGTGCCGCCCGTGTTCAAACTGAAGCTCTACTGTTACTAGTTTTGTGACATTAAGTCATGTAGCAACTCTTTGTTTGCTGTTACACACATGGGGATCCCTATCTTTATAATTCTGTATAATTCTATCTACTTTTTCTTTATGGGACTCAGACATCAGTTGGTCTTTCTCATTTTCCCTCTCCTTGTCCCTGAAGCTCTCTTTCATAATTTCTATTTCTTCCTCCCTATCTGCTGTTAACTGAGTAATTTTCAGGTCTATTTTGTAATTCACTAATTCCCCCTTCAATCATGAGTAATCTGCTTTCTATCTTGTCTGTTTTGTTTTAATGTCAATGAGCATATTTTTTCATTTCTATACTTTTCTTTCTCCAAATCATTCTGGCCTTTTTGATAATGTCTTGATTCTTTTCCATGTTTTTAACTCCATTTGTTTCTTTAAACATGTACATGTATTTTATCATGTCAATCTGAAAAGTCTGTTATATGAAGTTCTTGGAGGTCTAATTTTGATGTTTGTTGGTCTGCTGACTCTTGCTTAATCCTGAGTTATTTCCGTGTATATTTTAAAATTTTTGACTAAACACTCATGTTTAGAGTAGTTTATTTGAGGGGATCCTGGATGGCAAAGGTCAAGAGTAAGTTCGTTCAAAAAGATTTTGTATTTGCTTCTTCCAAGCATCACAGGGTACTACTAGGAGAATACTTCTTTTTATTTTAATTTATTGGCTTAGGGTTTCTCAGATTATGCAGATGGTATAAAGAAATCTAAGCTGAAAAGCTTATGGTTACAAATTCTCAGAAGACACTTTTTTCCTAAGAGCCCAACTAAAACAGACAACACTCCTTTTTTTCTTTTTCTACTGGGTGAATTTTTCATAATCCATGTTGTTTCACTGAGGATGTATTTACTTGAGGGTCCTGACTTTATTCAGAGACGGTCTCACTTTTAACTCCTGGTCTTATGTAGGTCTTAAGGCTTGGCGCTTCTTTGTGTTGCTTTTAGATCTTAATTCCCTTGATTAGTGAAACTAATCCCCACCCCCTAACATGTTCCACAGCCCAAACATCAGCTCTAAGCATACTCTGTCTTCAGTTCCTTAACTATTTTTAACACCTTGCATTTCCCTTACTTCCTTAAGAACTTGAGAATTAAGACACAGGTCTTTTTGTAGACAAAGCTTTTTAATTTTTAAATTAAGATTCACAAAGGAATATTTTTAAATTCTTAAAAAGAGAATAAAATTCCTTTCTTAAAATAATTAGTTTAGCTAATTTCTAACTAAAGTTTGGTATCACATTTGGACAAGAAATAAAAATATTTAAACTGAAATAAATTTTTGAATTTATAGGTTTAACAGAATAATTCCAAATGTCCCATGAATGTAATGTGGGATAGGAAGTTAAGAAAACAGTTGTTTTAAAAGGACAAAAAAGATAATAATTAGCACCTAATGACTTACAAACATCAAATCTTCATTTCTGATTTTGTGAAACACCATTTGGTTCACATTATTATGCCTCTGTAATGTTGGTGATGTGGGAACATCAGAAACGCCACTGGTTCTGAAGACTAGAAGGTTTGATTTATCTGATACCAAAAAAAACCAAAACAAAACCAAAAAAAAAAAAAAAACAGAAGAAAAGAAGCAATGAAAAAAATGTATATAACCAAAATACATTGAGGATATAAACTGCTCCAAAGAAGAAAATAAAATTTGTTCTATAAATAAAAAACACTTAACAACTTGTTAATTTTTTTAATAAACAAATTTATTTTAGGAATTTACTCACTGAACTTTGATATATTTTAACGAGTTATTTGAAACTTTCAAAATTGTAATGATTCCCTCAATATAATTTTTCATGAATAATTTAATAATAATTTTTAATAAATCTGTTACTTCAAGGATTTCCAATCTTAATATCTTTATTTTAAAAGCATAGAAATTAAAATTCTAAAAGAGTATGAAGGTTTTACTTAGAAAAACATAGGAGAATCTGGTAGTGAAGTCTTTCATAGTTCAGTCAGTAAGTGATGGATTTTATACCATGCAGTTACCATTTCTTAAATGCCATTTCAGAATTAAAGGATTTCAGGTCATGTCTAGACAACCTAAATCAAACTGAACAATCCTATCTGAGGATGCTCATATGAGACAATGAGACAAAATTCTGTTTTTTCAAGCAGCTTCTTTTCTATTTCCTTTGAAAGCAATATACTGAAGATGCCTCCTACCATACAGATAATCCATGATGAGTATTTTAAAACTAACAAGAAAATTATTTTACCTTTCAACTTTGGGGGACAACATTTAGTAAACTGGAAAATTATACTGTCTGAGCGAACAGTTTCCATCTGGTAGCAATTCAAAAGATCTTTAAGGTTACTGAAGTTCTTCTTGGTCCCACTGAGGTTGTATTCTCCATTCTCATTCTTTGTAATCAAACAGTGCTTATATTCGATGGCATTTTCTCGCTATATAAGTTGAATTATAAAAGAAACAGAAGGCAAAATCACAATGGTCAAAACAGTAATTATTGTGACAAAAATGTTATCACAAAAACACCCAACAGAACATTTAGACATTTGAACTCTGAATCTTAATGTAGTACTGGTATAGGGTGATAGGAGTGCCTGGTTCCTCAAAAAGGTATCTGATGATAATTACCTACCCCTACCATAAATGGCTTAACGGTCGATTTTCTCAAAAAGCAAGTAAGAAAGCAATGGTAATTAGCAATAATAATACTATCCTTAATGGTTTTCGGTCATTTACAAGATAAAATCTAAAACTATTTTACATCATAAGGCCTTCCATGAGCTGGCTTCTGATGCCATCTCCAACTTCACCATCTACCATTGCCGACATACAACCTATGTTCCAGCTATACTAAGCGAATTCAAAAATTTCAAGCAAATGCCATGTTGTTTCATGCCTTGATAAATGTACATGCTATCTCTTTACCTATGAATATATATCCTCTCCTTCTGAGCAATGGACTTTTAGACATTTCTTAACAGCCAGTTCAAGTATCTTCTTTTCTGTGAGGTCCTCCTTAACGACCCTGACCTCACCTCACAAGCAGAGGTGATTACCCATTCATTGTGCCACTACTGTATCTACACAGCTACCTCTCATATGGCGATTTTAATATTCTTCAGCTTTTCAATGTCTGTTTTATGTACTATACGATGAACTTCTTCATCTATTTTTTGAGTTTCTTACTAGCATATTCAACCTCCATGGGACCATTTATTTAAAAAAAAAAAAAAAGACAAAATACCTTAAGTCTTCTTTACCCTGAAAGTATTTGCTGGGGTGGGGCACCTGGGTCGCTCAGTCAGTTAAGTGTCTGCCTTCCACTCAGGTTATGATCTCAGGTTCCTGGGATCAAAATCCACACCAGGCTCCCTGCTCAACAGGGAGTCTGCTTCTCCTTTTCATTTTGTCCCTCCCCATGTGCTCACTCTCTCTCTCTCTTTCAAATAAATAAATAAATAAAATCTTAAAAAAAAAAAAAGCACTTTCTTAATTATAACCCTTTGTTATTGTCTATATTAAACAATTACAGTGATCAATTTAATACTTTTTAGGTATATCTTCCTACTTTTTCCAAAAGATATATTTCTTAAAGCAAGGTTATATTATACACTCTCTAATTTAACAGTCCTCATATTAGGCTAAGCAAATACAGTAAACATAAAAAAATACATTTTGAATTGATAATTGAATATAATGGACTATTGTATTAAAAGATGCAATGAAATTAGGATAGATTATTAGTATTATACGATGCTAAACACATTGAGTAACTACCTTTTGTATTTATGGACAATTAATCTATTCTATATGCTAAATATGAATGCATTTTCTAAAAGTTAAAATAACTGAATAACCAAATCCTCATGCTCTACTTTGGAAAAGTAAGATAAATTTTAGAACCTGCTATAAAGTTTCTCAAGATTTATACCAAAAACTATGTTATAAGCGATAGTATCTTTTTAAATATTTTGGGTAATAAACAATCTTAGAAAATATCCAAAATTATCTGTATTAATAGTGTGGTTTTTTGTAGTATTATCTTTAAAACAAATATAATGTAGACCCTTATTCTGAATACTGGAAAATCACTAGTTAAAAATGCTCTGTTTGTTTGTCATCAACCTATTTCACTCTAATCCTGTAACCACCACCAGTAAAAGCAAAATTTTCTTTTGATTCCTTTAGTTCTATGTGTCTTTGTAAAGATCTCCATTTTTGTGAAAAGAGACTTGAAGAGACTTGAAAAAATATGACACACTAGTAACATCCAAACATCAAAAAATAAATTCCAAATATAGACATTAAAAATAACTTTATATTTTTATAAAAAGTCTAGAAATTATATCTTATTTATTGATACAAAATCCCTAAGAGAAACTAAGCATTTTTATGCTAGTTATCATATCCAGAGCTGTAATTCTGAGTATTAAAAAAAAAGAAACAATGGTAGATCAACATGAAGGGGGAATTACACAGACTAAATAAAGATGTTACATGTGCCAGAGGAAGAGAGTGGAATGGGAAATAAAATTAAAAAAAGAAAAATGTCACCATTAATGAGAAATACTAACCTCAACAGCAAAAGTCAGAAAATACTTATTAAAGTCCTTAGGACTGCATCGAAGTACGTAGAGTCCAGTCTGATTACCTGCTTTCTTCAGTTTACTGATGGCAAAATCCATTCTAAAGGTAAAGAAGTAACTTGAATGATAATGTAGCAAGTGCTATGACATTAAGACCAAAATGTCATCTAAGAGATCAAGTCAAATCTGAAAGTCTGAGAATTTTAAGTTTCCTCTACTTTATATGTTTATCAGTTATCTTACAAGGAAAAAGGAAAAACACTGAAGCACCAAGCTATTTTGCAATACGTTCAAACCAATTCAACAGATTTTAAAAACAAACAAAAGGGATTATAAGACACACAAAATCACTAAGAACATTTCATTCATTTGAATTTTCTGCCTTCTAATTAAAAATTTAGTATTTTAAAAACCATATTTACTCCTACCATGCAAACAATATATTGTAAAACACTTGCGTCTTTTCTACATAGCAATTACTAATATAAAAATTCATATGGATTATTTTAATATTTAATATAATACCAAAGTATAATAGAAGATCTATGGCAGGTGACAAAAACTACTGATTTTCAAAATGTGCTGTGTGTTTTGTTGAAGTTGAACATCTTGAAATAAAAGACAAATGTAATCTATATGAAAGTAGGAAAAATCTGTTTCATTCATCACTGTATTTCTCATACATAAACCAGTGACACATATTAGGTACCCAGTAAATGTTCTATAAATAAATGAAAGAACACTTGAATGGATGGATAAATAACACATGAAAGAATGAATGGTAGGTAGTTTTTAAATACTAACCACCTAAGTTATAGAATAATACTTATATAGAACAATAATACTTATATAGAACTTATACAGAACAATACTTATTAGACAGATAATAGGTATAAGACAGAATCAAGTCTTAAACATCAGTCAGAATATGTTTTCAAATATTTAACTAAGGGTAGGTTAATGTCAAGACACATATGCTCACAAACTCAGACTACTTCTGCTTGAGTGTGTCAAGCCCGGTGCCAATCACTAAAGTACATACTGGCTGAGAGATAACTAGAACTTGGGCAAAACAAATGTTATGCATGATAGTTGGCTTTATCCGGCATTAAAGTAAAGGTCTGTAACTGTGCAGATCCATGTGGTAGCTAATAGCCGCACGTTGCTATTTAAATATAGTTATTAAATTTAAAGATTCAGTTCCTAAGGGCACATGGGTGGCTTGTCAGTTAAGCATCTGACTCTTGACCTCAGCTCAGGTCTTGATCTCAGGTTTGTGAGTTTAAGCCTCACCCAGCAGGGAGCCTACTTTAAAAAATTAATAAATAAAAGAAAATATATTAAAATTCAGTTTCCTCAGTTATACTAGTGGCTACTGCATTACACAGCAGAGAAATGAAACATCTTCATTTGCATCACTGCAGAAAGTACTACCCAGCAGTAGTCTCAGAAAGAGGGACATCATATACATCTTGTGTTCAAAGCTTTCAGTAGAGGGAGCTGGATTATCCAAAAATAGTAACAATTATCAAATTTTGCATTGTTTCCTCTACAGTATTTCAAAATTAATGAAGTATAAGTTGGAGGATTTTTTAAAAAAATTAACACCCAAGAATTACTTAAACGCACCAATGCAACAAAATGCCAGACTGTACAATTAAGTATTATAGAGTGGAATACAGGCAGCAAATGATATCCTAAAGAATTCTAATTATTATGTAATCTAATTGCAAACAGACTTTTGTTTAAAAAAAAAAAAAAAGAAATTTCAGCCACATAAGATAGTATTTTGTTCCTCAACTCCTAAACCTACATGTATCATTTCATTATGTAAAATTCTGTCAGCATCTCATTGACTTTTTAAAAAATTTACTTTTAAAGTCAGTATCACTCACAAAATTGGGCCATGACAGTTGCTTTGTATATTTTCAAGGACCATTGGAGGTGCTACTTCTTTACAGAGGTAATGATGTGCATCTGCAGTTAATCTATAATAGCCATCAATTAATGACACAAAGGACAAAGCTTCTTTTAATGAGCTAAGTTCAATTTCCTAAACAAAGAAAAGAAAAGGAAATAATCAGTACCATTTGGAAAGTCAACTACATGTTACATATTAAGAATTCATTTCATGTTGTTAGATTAATTCCCCAAATTAATTTTCTTCTAAATTGCTCAAATGTCTTTTGTGGCTCCCAAATTACCCAATCTGAATTGTAAGTTCTTGTGTATGATATTTAAGACCCTCTCAAATATGGGCTAATATTTTTCCAGTTCACTTCTCATTCATAATTTTACTATATTTCCCAATAACCCTATTAGACAAATATGTCAGTCATCTCAATGAGAAATCTATCTAGTCTGATACAAAAGTTGGTACTAATTAGAAATAATGAGCATTTATTTTTACCCACTAAGTATACATGGCTAAGGTTAAATCAGGAGTAAGACCGAAAGCCCAATACTTAATGCATTGCATAGTACTTAATTAACATAATCAGGCCACAGAAAGAAATACAAGAATAGAAATTGGAAACAAGGAGGTAGAACAATCTCAATTTGGAGATTATATGATTGTATACTTGGAGAATACAAAAGAAGACAATTATAAAATTACTACAACGCAAAGATTAATTCCTTAAGATAGTAGGATACAAAAAACAGCTTTCACATATATAAAAAATAGTCAATTAGATTATATAATGAAAAAATAGCCTCATTTATACCAGTACATATACAAAGACAGTATCTAATATTAAACTTCACCAAAAAATGAGCAAAATCATTTTTTAAATACTTCAAAACGCTATTGTTAAAATGTAACTTTTTATTTGAATATAGAGATTTACCATGTTATTGGGTAGGAAAATTCAACATCATAAAGTTGTAAAAATCCTCCCTAAATTAATTTTCTAATTTGTCACAATCCCAACAAAAATACCAACAGGTACTGGCCGAAAAACAAGACAAATATGAGATTCAGAAAACCAGGGATCCAAGTAAAAACAGACAAGATAACTCCCAGGGTGATAAGAGAAGGATGCCCAAAGATGACAGCTGTGAAGGTCAAAAGAGCTTCCAGTCCAGATGAGAGAGCAAAACCAGTGATCTCAAAGTGACTTTTCCAGGAAAGAAACAGAAGTCATATAATGTTTGACTATGTAAAAAGATCTGTTGAGAAGTGAGCTACTTCACAAAGTGCTCATAGGAAATAGAAAGAGATACAGAGAAAGGATACACACGAAGGAAAAAAGTTGAAGTAATGATTAATCCCCAGAAAAACAAAAACCCTGTGTAAGAATGGAAATGTGATTACAGAATACTACTACTTGCCTCAGCAATGAACAATATTTAGTCATAATAAGAACACAGAATACAGATTTATCCCAAAAGTGTAATGAGAGAAGTGTGTGATATATCAGAACTATAACAGGTATTTACCTAACACAATTAGGCCATAAAAATAGGTACTAGGGATGCCTGGATGGCTCAGTTGATTAAGGGCCCAACTCTGGATTTTGGCTCAGGTCATGACCTCAGGGTTGTGAGACTGAGCCCCACGTCTGGCTCCGCACTGGGCATGGAGCCTGCTTAAGATTTTCTCCCTCTCCCTCTGCCCCTCCCCATACCTGCTCAAGCTTTCTTTTTTTCTCTCTCTCTCTCTCTCAAAAAAATAAAAAAAAAAATTAAAAATAGGTACTAAAAAAGATACCATAAACAATGTTAAAAGACTGGGGAACTGTAAATCTGTACATCAAAGGATTAATATGCAATATATAGAGAGAGAGAGAAAAAAAAGCTATAAATCAATTAAAAATAGAAAAGAAAATTAGTCAAAACATATGAAAAGATAATACACAATACAGAGACACAAACAGCCGGTTTGTAAACACAGAGAAATTTCTCTAACTCAGGTTCTAGTTAAGGAAATGAAATATAACATAGGATAGCAATTTTTGTCCCATCAGTTTGGCAAAATATTTAAAAATTGATAACATCCAAGGACGCTGCAATGAACATGGGGGTACAAATATCTCTTTGAGGTAGTGATTCTGTTTCCTTTGGATATATACCCAGAACAGAAGAGCTAAATCAAGATGCTAAATTTCATGAAATGTATTTTACCATATTTTTTTTAAAGAGAAAAGAAAGACAAAGAAAAATGTCAGAGTAAAGAGTAAAAGGATGTTTTTTTTTTTTAAAGTGTAACTAATATATAACACTGGAAAAAGGAAATAATAAGCAAAAATTTATTTCTCATATCTAGCAATAATGTGTTAGAAAAATATATATTAAGAAAAGGTTCTGAATCCTATTAAGTGACAGAAAAAGCATAATATATCATGAATAAAATTCAGGAAGAAACATGATGTATCGTTATGAATAAAACCATCAAGTTACTGAAATACAAGGACGCCCGGATGGCTCCCAGTTTGTTAAGCGTCTGCCTTAGGCTCAGGTCGTGATCCCAGGACCCCCGAATCAAGCCCCACATTGGGCTCCCTGCTCATGGGGAACCTGTTTCTCCCTCTGCCTGCTGCTCTTTACTTGTGCTCTCTCTCTCTGTCAAATAAATAAATAAAATCTTAGAGGACAAAAAGTTACTGAAAAACATAATACTTGGATACAAGGAGAAATATGATGTATCCCTTAAATAGAAAATGTAATATGGTAAATATACATTCTTCCCAAATTAATCTTTAGAGGGATTCTAACAAAATGTAAATGCAATACTTTGAGGAACTTCAGGACTACTCAACAAACGGCACCGTCACAGTGATGGGCTTAAGTTGTCAAATCATGCATTTAGTTTTACACAGGTCCTATCACTTAACTGATACTATGATCTTGGAAAGTTACTTAACCTCTCTATGTTGCAGACTTAAAAATAAAGCCAAGAGGTCCAAATACCATCCCATAAAGAAGTTCCTTACGTTACTACACGATGTTCACATAAGTATAAATATACTCTTCTAGAAATACTTACTCTTTTATAAATACCACATTTACAGAATGAAGGCATACCCTGTTTCAGTGCAATTTAGTGCATTTCTCAGATACTGCCTTTTTTAAAAACAAACAAACACACACATTGAAGGTTTGTGGAAACCCTGCATCAAAAGCAAGTCTATCAGTGCCACTTTTCCCATAGCATTTGCTCATACTCATCTTGGAGATGAACAATGAGACTACTGTTTTCATGCCTACTAACACGACATCCATTCAGCAGCCTGTGGATCAAGGAGTCATTTTAATATTCAAGTCTTATTATTTAAGAAATACATTTCTTAAGGCTATTGCTGCCAAAGATGGTGATTCCTCTATCAGATCTGAGCCATCAACTGAAAACCTTCCAGAAAGGAGTCAACATTCCAGATGTCAGTTAGAATACTTGTGATTCATGGGAAGAGGTCAAAATATCAACATGAAGAGGTATTTGGTAGAAGTTGATTCCAACCTTCACAGATGACTTTGAGGTGTTCAAGACTTCAGGGGAAGAAGTAATTTCAGTAGTGGTGGAAATAGCAAAAGAATTAGAAGTGGAGCTGAAAATGTGGGACACATGGGTGGCTCAATCAGCTGAGCCTCTGAGTCGTAATTTCAGCTCAGGTCATGATCTCATGGGTCCTGGGATGGAGCCCCACATCAGGCTCTGTGCTTGGTGAGGAGCCTGCTTGGATTCTCTGCCTCTCTTTCTCCCCTACCCCTGATTGCACATGTGCGCTCTAGTTCTCTCTATTTCTCTCCCTCTCTCTCAAATAAATAAATAAAATCTTTTAAAAAATTTAAATGTGGCTGCAATCTCCTGATAGAACTTGAATGGATAAGGAGCTGCTACCTATGGATGAGCAAAGAAAGTGGTTTTTTTAAAAAAATGGAACCTCCTTGTGGTGAAAATGTGAAAATTATTGAAATAGTAAGAAAGGATTTAGAATATTACCTCAACTTAGTTGAAAGAGCAGCAACTTGGTTTGAGAGGATAGACTCTAGTTTTGAAAGAAATTCTAATGTGGGTAAAAAGCTATCAAGCAAAAAGACCTCAACGTGAGGCAGGAATCTTATCAAAATCCTAGAGGACATCACAGGCAATAACCTCTTCGACATAAGCCATAGCAACTTCTTTCAAGATATGTCTCCAAAGGCAAAGGAAACAAAAGCAAAAATGAACTTTTGGGACTTCATCAAGATCAAAAGCTTCTGCACAGCAAAGGAAACAGTCAACAAAACAAAGAGGCAACCCATGGAATGGGAGAAGATATTTGCAAATGACACTACAGACAAAGGGCTGATATCCAAGATCTATAAAGAACTCCTCAAACTCAACATACACAAAAAAGATAATCATGTCAAAAAATGGGCAGAAGACATGAACAGACACTTCTCCAAAGAAGACATACAAATGGCTGACAGACACATGAAAATGTTCATCATCATTACCCATCAGGGAGATTCAAAACATAACCAAATTGGTACCAACTTACACCAGTTAGAATGGCCAAAATTAACAAGACAGTAAACAAGTGTTGGAGAGGATGTGGAGAAAGAGGAACCCTGGCTTAGAACCCTCTTACACTGTTGGTGGGAATGCAAGTTGGTGCAGCCACTTTGGAAAACAGTGTGGAGATTCTTTAAGAAATTAAAAATAGAGCTACCCTATGACCCTGCAATTGCACTACTACTATTTACCCCAAAGATACAGATGTAGTGAAAAGAAGGGCCATTTGTACCCCAATTTTCATAGCAGCAATGGCCATGGTTGCCAAACTGTGGAACCAAGATGCCCTTCAACAGATGAATAGATAAGGAAGATGTGGTCCATATACACTATGGAGTATTATGCCTCCATCAGATAGCATGAATACCCAACTTCTGTATCAACATGGACGGGACTGGAAGAGATTATGCTGAGTGAAATAAGTCAAGCAGAGAGAGTCAATTATCATATGGTTTCAATTACTTGTGGAGCATAAGGAATAACATGGAAGACATTGGGAGATGGAGAGGAGAAGTGAGTTGGGGGAAACTGGAGGGGGAGACAAACCATGAGAGACTGTGGACTCTGAGAAAAAAACTGAGGGTTTTGGAGGGGAGAGTGTGGGGGGTTGGGTGAGCCTGGTGGTGAGTATTATGGAGGGCACGTATTGTATGGAGCACTGGGTATGGTGCATAAATAATGAATTTGGGACACTGAAAAAAATAAAATAAAATAAAAAAGCTATCAAGCAGCGTTACATGCTACAGAGAAACCACATGTCAATGGAAGAGTCAACTGACAGGGCAAACTTCATTGTTACCTTATTTTAAGTAATTGCCATAGCCTACCCCAACCTTTAGCAAACAGCACCTTGATCAGTTAGCAGCCATTAACACTGAGACTAGATCCTCCATCAGCAAAAATATTATAACTCTCTGAAAGCTCAGATGATGGTCAGCATTTCTTAGCAATAAAGTACTTTTAATTAAGGTATGTACATTTTTTTTAGATGTAATGCTATTATTGCATACTTAATAGACTACAGTTTGGTATAGGCATAACTTTTATATGCACTAGGAAACCAAAAAAAAAAATTTCATTTGACTTGCTTTATTGTGGTATTTGCTTTATTGTGGTGGCCCAGAAATGAATCCACCAGGGTATGCTTATAAGTATTTAGGTGTATTTATACAATACACATGTGTAGTTTTGATATTTACAGAATAAATATTTCTTCTCTTAATTCCACATTGTGGTTGAAAGTTATTAATCATCCTTCCACTGATCCATGAAATACAGGTCAAGCTCTTTCTAAAGTAGGGCCTAGAGTATTATGCAAGGTGCAGAGGGTAAAAAACGCATAGCCCAAAATGACCCTTACATTCAAGAAGCTCATAGCCTAGCAGATAGTGGTTGTACACTATTTACATATTTTTACCTAAGGACAGGAAAGTATGCTGACTAAAGTGAATTACAAGTTAGTTATAATTTTAGTAAATATAAACATAGAATAGAGAGATAGCATACAAATACTGAAGTTAAACGAACAAGTAACATTAACGTGACATTTCAGCCAGGAGGTCAAAAAACATCGGAGTTAAAAAGAAAAAAAGAGTCACGTAAGTAAGCTAGTTTAAGAGAAGAGTATACAGGAATTTACTTCTTCCCCTTTAATTACAGTAAGTGGGATTTCTAATTACACTTATCATGGCAAGCACTGTGCAAAGTATAGAACTGTCAAATCATGACGTGGTACATCTGAAACTAAAATCACATTGTATTTGACATTAAAAAAATTTAAAAATATGTGGGTTTTCCAGAGCTAATCAAAGAAAGAGAAAAAATTAATCTTTTAGAACCAATCATGTGTTTTAGCTTGGGTAGGGCTAACTTGGGATTGGTTTACACTATTACGTGAATCCCAGAAAGCATTGTTTTAATTTCTTTTTCTCCTTTAATTAGGCAGTATGAATGGAATTATGCACATCCCTACTGGTTAAAAAAAAAAGAATACAGTCCAGAGTGAGCATTACAACAGGGAATTAGCACAATCCAGAGTAATGGGGGTTGGGAGGGAGTAACTATTGCCTTGCTAATCATAAAAATGAATGAAAAATACATTAACGTTTAAGAAACTCTGGGAATATAGTATTGGTAGTGATACAAAAGCTAGATGTGACCAAAACCTTACTAAACTGATGATTTATGTTTAGAGTTATATTTAAAACTATAATCAGAATTCCTAGGAGAAAATAACTTTAGTATTAAGATTTTCTGGCAACAAGCATAATCATTATTTAGTTATAAAGCAAACTTACCAGATTTTTACCATCTTGCTTATGTATAGCTACAATTCTACTTTCATTTGAGCCTTCTTGGCTTGCTTGCTTAATAGTAACATCAATAATATCAGGGAAGTCACAATATAACTGTAAATCCTATAATTAAGAGCATTTGAAATTAAAAACAGGTAAAACTAAGGGAGCCATTTTAAAACAAGAAGGACATAACAACATTCATTCCAAATTCTTTAAAATAAAGAAGTATTGATAGTAACTAAATGGGATTCTCTCCCTCAATAATCCAACCCTAAGACTTAACCATATCTTGCTTTGACTTAAAAATGAGAGCATTAAAGGTACCAGGAATCTAATTATGCTACAGTTCCCTTCAATCCAATCAACATCAATAGGAACCATTGTCAGAAAACTGTAAGTTTAATCAACCAAAGAAGGAAGGTAAAGGTAAATCTCTAATAATCTAAGAACAACAGAGATATGAACAAACTTAAAACTTATAGTACAAACCTTAAAAAAATGAATGCATCATCATAAAATCAATTAAAATTAACTATTTCCATTTAAATTTTATGATTGTGCCTATTATCAGTAACAGCAAAATTTTAAAGAGGCAAAACTACCTTAAAAATCACTTTTAGAATTCAAGCCTTTTCGAAAACTATAAGAAAACCATTAGTAATATTTGTCATTAAAAAAACTAAATAAAAAACCATTTAAGAACAATGAGAAAAGAATTATAGATATGACCTTGATGGCTTCACACTACTAAAAACTTCCTCTTATATCAATGAGAGAAGAGAATTGCAAGACCATGTTTCCAATGAGTAAAAATTACTCTGCTTCTATTGCCATTCACTTAAATTAACAAAGAATGAGAACGTATCATTAAGGATTACCTGTTCTGTCAGTGTCTCACTTTCTTTATGTTTCCCTCTTGACCACTGAATTCCACCGTTTCCAGTTATTATAATGGTTGCAAAAATCTCCTCACCTGAAGGACCTCTTCCAGGTTCTTTTACTTCAAATTGCTCTGTGTAGAAGGCAGACTGAAGAGTTTCCAGATTTATAAGATACTTAAGTTTCAAGTTTCTGGCAGTGGCTTTGCAATGGCTGAACTGCTCAATAAATCTGCGAAATCTGTACCTTATTCGTTTCCTTGTCAAAATATGATAGTCTTGGATCTTTGCTCGAACACATTTTGGTAAGAATGTCTTGTAGCTGGGGATAAAGAGCACACACAGAAAAACAAAACAAATTGGGAGAGAAATCTAAAACGACACTGAGAGAGAAATTACCACCTTTCTCCATGACTGGTAACTGCTACAACACAGTCGTCAAGCGGAGAAAGGTGACACAGCCACCACGTGTACAATATTAAGGTTTTAACTGATGATGTGAATACATATAAAAATTCTCTGAGTAACCATAAATGTTTAGAATAGGATATGTTAATTTTCTTCCCCTAATGAAATGAAGACTTAGTCTAGTTAATAATGGAGTCTCTAAAAATTTGTTTTCTCTATCTTATACATCAATTTTTTGGCACCATGTTGCAATATTTCCTATGATGCTGTACACCAAAATTTATCTGAATTCTGGAAATTGCTACATTTTGTTGGATGCCACAGTTGTTCATTATGCAAAGATACTTCTTTTGTATACACTATTTTCTAGGCCTTTTTCAATAACTCCTAATAATTCCTTTGCCATCAAAACAATTCTACTTAGAAATGTTCTGATGCTTTTGTAATTCTATGTCTATATAAAATACCCTAAAGAAGAGAGATGATGACTTCCCTCCTACTCAAATATCTGACAAATGAAGAGCATTTTATTTCTGAAGGTGCAACTGCATTAAATTTCCATGCCTTCACTTATGCTAATCCTTCCCATCACCATCTCCTACCTGGTTGGCTCTAACTCTTTCCAAAAGTCTCAGCTCAAGCATCATCAAATCCAGACAACCTTTCTCTAGGACTACATTACATACTACTCCCCATTGTCCGACAGCATTCTGTGCACCACCACTCCATGAGATCACTTCTCACTCTATCCTGTACGTGACTAGTTATAGCTAGTGCTCCAGCTGGCTCATGCTGAGAGCTTACAGTTTAAGACTATTCAGTTGATTGCTAAAGAGCTATCATTAAAATTTAAGTTCTACAGTTACAATTATAGTAAAAATATAGGGAATACTCAAAATGTATCACTTTCTAATTATTTTACATTTTAAATTTTTACATTTTACTACTACCTATGCTTTTGAGGTTGTTTACATCACTCGTCGTGATGTAAAAGATTTGCTCTTGCTCATCTCTTCCCAATTCTACATTCAGGCACATCAGGCTGATACCCTGAAACTGGCCATAGGCAGGATTTACACCATGGATATCAGCAAAGATGGCAAACCAATCACACCTTTGGGGTTTTGGGTTTTTTTTGAGAACTGGTTGTTACGCATTTACTAGCATACCACGGCTTCTTCCCTCCCCTAGTCTGCCTGAACCCGGCTGAGGAACACTCAGCTTTGTACCCAGGCAGCAGAGGGGCTGGAGAGTCATTTGATAAGGCAGACACGGCAGTATAAATTCATCACCACCAATTTCAAACATGTTTTCAGCACGACCATCAATTTTACAACACTTCTCTGTTCAACTAATTCTCCCAAGTTTCACAACTATGTCAAACCCTCTCCAATCTTCTCAAATCGCCTACCTTTCTTCCGCCTCAAACCTCAGCTGTATTCCTCCTTATGTTCACCACATGACTTCATCTCTCTCTTAGGGAGGGAAAAAAGCTTCTCTAAGCAGAGCTCCCTCAACATTCCACTAGCAAATCCACATTCAGGTGCACTCATTCCCTCCTCCTCCCTACCTGTTACAACAAATGAGCTATAAACCAGCAAGGTAACGCCACTTCCTGGACACGTATTTACCTATAGCCTCTTTTTTCCTCTAATATACATTTACTCTCTGGGGACTTTTGCTCTTATTTCTCTTCGAGCCACAAAAGACTAATGTTCATTCTAACTTAAATGTAAAATTTCTTTGTCCTGCATATCCCCTCAGCTACAGCCTATCTGGCCTAATTTTGAAAGAGTTTATACAGTCATTTCCACTTACTCTTCAATTCACTCCAGTCTAGCTTCTGATCCATCATTCCATAGAAAATGCTTTTGCTAAAAATCAAGAAAAACTTTCATGTTGTTTAAACCAAATTCCCATATTCATCTCCCTTGCCATTCTTCATCAGCATCCAACATTGCTGATCATTCTCTCCTTTCAACTTTCTTCCCTTAGCTTTCCTCACTTTATTCCTATCTCTTGGGATACTTCTCAATCTCCTTTTCACCTTCACTCTTACCTAGTGATTAATGTTGAAGTTCCTCAGGACTTAAGACCCTCTTCTCTTCTTAGTTAAACTCTCTCTCTCTCTAGGTTCTTTATATGCAAATGACTCTGATACCTGTCTTTAGCAATGACCTCTAAACTCCACACCCCTATCTTCCATAGGCAAGTCAATCTATCATTTAATTTAAATGTCTCAAAAGCTCCTTAAACAATATGTCAAACCCAACTCCTAAGTCCTATTGATGTTCTCCCCTAAAAGATCCTCTTATAGCATTTCCTATCTAAGTAAATAGCACTGCAATTCACCCAAGACCTGGGAATAATCCTTGATGCGGCCTTCTCCTTTGATTCCCATTATTCCATTCATCACCATGTTCCCATGAGTTTACCTCCTAAATACTTCTCTTAGTTGCCCATTTTTCTCATTACTAACCACACTGCCTGGAAGAAAATACTGCAACGGCTTTAGTCTCTGGACAAATAGCACCTCCATTTACTCTGACCATTGTATGACTTTGTTTTCTACACTGGACTCATGGGGATCTTTCAGAATCACAAATCTAATCATTTCACCATTGCTTAATACCCTTCTATGGTTTCTGAGTGCTCATAACCTTGTCAACATGGCTCTAAGGTTCTGTAGGTTCTGATCTAGTCCCTGCTTTGTCCCCTCCTAACTCTTCGGGGTCTAGCCATACTGATTCTCTTCACTCTCCCTTCTGCTACAAGGCCTTTTCCATGAGTCTCTACACACTCCATCACTCCCCTCTCTCTGTCATCAAATTCTACTCTTTTTTTCAGATCTTAATAGTCACACTTTTGTTCCTAACAATTATATATTTCTAAATAAATAGATATATGAAATCTAAAAAGTCTAGATAGCATAGAGGAGAGCCTCAGGAAGTTTAGAATGAACACTGAAAAGACTTAAAAAATAGAATCAGAATACAAATGATTCTTGCTAAACTACTTCTGTCAAAAACATTAGTTACCAAGAGACTTACTAAATCTGAATACAATTTATATAAACATTTTACAAAAATGCAAACTATATAGTCACCAATGGCTACTTTTTAATAAGGCGTATTTGGATATAAAAAGAGGAGTTTAAAATAACAACATAAAACAAAGCTTTCCGCATTGATGCTTGGCATAAAGGACCAGACATGCTTCCTTTGGGAATACCATAGGCATGTGTGGTTCTTGAACATGGTGAATCCACTTCAGCATCATGCTTTCAGAACCAGACTTGTTAGAAACACTAAAATTTTTCCAAGAGAAAGGTTAACTCTTGAAGCATAAAACATTTTTTTCTTATGCTTTTCTTATATTGAGTTTTTAAAGAATGCTAAAATTGAGGTTCCAAAAGGTTCTGAAATTGAGCTTTGGCTTAGAAACTGTATACTATTTTTTGTACTATAAAATGAAATCTGCAGCTTATTATTATAGTTAGAGTAGGCCATTAGAAACTCCATTATTGGGACGCCTGGGTAGCTCAGTTGATTAAGCGGCTGCCTTCGGCTCAGGTCATGATCCCAGGGTCCTGGGATCGAGTCCCACATCGGGCTCCTTGCTCAGCGGGGAGCCTGTTTCTCCCTCTGCCTCTGCCTACCACTCTGTCTGCCTGTGCTCATGCTCTCTCTCTCTCTCTCTCTCTCTAACAAATAAATAAATAAATAATCTTAAAAAAAAAAAAAAAAAAAAGAAACTCCATTATTATTTACTTAGTTTTTTAGAAAGGGAGTCCAGCGATATGAGGCGAGTAGCTCAGTAGCTATATAAATGGCCTTGGTCCTGGCCTAATGTTTACAAATTCAGCAGTCTCCTTTACAGCCTTTGCATTTTCCAGTTCTCTTCTTCCCACCCGTTAGCAGACAGGATTTTAAAGAGCACATGAAGAATGAAAACACAAAAATTTTATCCTTTCCTTCATTTTCTGTGCTCTAATACCTAAGCCATAACGTTTAATTAGGAAGTGTCATACAGAAAAGTATCTAATGCATACACGTGCACAAAGAGGTGTGCACCCACACCCACAAACACAGCTAACACACAGGCACAGGCACACAAAGATGCACTTTACATGCATTTTTCTAAAGTCGGGGAAGGAATATGTATTTAATTATACTAATCAGAGATCCATATCCTACAGGGTTTTTCTGGGAACAAAACAGTGTATTTCATTCTGCCAACAACTAATCATTCATCTATTCTCCCATCAATCTTGAATATTTTAACACTGAGTGGAGTTTCTTGATTATTTCTCAAAAATAAGCATTAAATGTGAATTCAGAAAACATCAGTTGAGTTAAATTATTAAAAAGGAAAGCAAGGCAGGCATATTTACTTCAGGAGAAATTATTCATCTAATATTAAATTGTCATGGCATAAGAAACAAAAAATAAATTACTTCAAAATCTAAACTTCTGTATTATGAATGACACTTTTAAGAAAGTGAAAAAAACAGTCCAAAGAATGGGGAATATATTTGCAAATTATAAATATAGTAACTTTCATCTGAAGACTTGTATCCAAAATATGTAAAGAACCCTTACAATTCAATAACAAAAAAGTCGTGAGTTGTTCATTTTAAATGAGTGAACTTTACGGTTATGGCTTAACAGATATCTGACAACAACAAGAATATCTAAAACCAAAGAGGAAACAGAAACTGATACCCTGCAGTGTGGGTATGTAACTGTTTTTAAGGCACTTAGCAAAGAAGTAACTAAAACGAGTTATTGAGAGAAGGATTTCAAGAAATACAGGGAGTTTTAACCAGATTCATAACACCCTCAAACTTCTAATCCTAAGTATGCAATATGTAAAACATATATTTAGTCTTTAAACTTAAAAAAAAAACTCAAAGAACTCTTATAATAATCATATACACCTTTAAAAACAGTAGAAGTCTTACAGCCACTAAAGCTGGGCTGTAGAAGTATTTCAAAAAATCCTGTTAGGCAAGACAAAATTCAATATGCACAAGAGTAATTTGGAGAATGTAGAGTGTGGAGCACTTATAAAAGAATCTGCTGCTGGGGCGCCTGGGTGGCTCAGCGGGTTAAGCCGCTGCCTTCGGCTCAGGTCATGATCTCAGGGTCCTGGGATCGAGCCCCGCATCGGGCTCTCTGCTCAGCAAAGAACCTGCTTCCTCCTCTCTCTCTGCCTGCCTCTCTGCCTGCTTGTGATCTCTCTCTGTCAAATAAATAAATAAAAAATCTTTAAAAAAAAAAAAAAGAATCTGCTGGATCAGTTATGATATGAATAAGATCTAGGGATCTAATACAAAACATGGTGACTCTGATAAGACTGTACTGTAGACCTGAAATTTGCTAAGAGGAGTGTATAAATGTTCTCACCAAAAAAAAAAAAAAAAAAAAAAGTAAGTAGGAAAGATAAATATGTGAGGCAACAGATGTGTTAATGAAGAAGACGGGGGAGTTCTTTCACCGTGTATACATAGAGCAAACCACCACAAAGTACACTTCCAATCACCTCCCAATTTTCTATGTCAATGACACTTCAATAAAGTGTAAAATTTTTAGGAAAATTCCCAGGAGAACTTGTGAAGATTTGTATAGGTGGGCTTTTCCCTCAGATTTACTGAATCCAAATTTTTGGGTAGCACTCAGAAATCTTCAATCTTAGCAGGCACTTCGTGTGATACTAATTCAAGTAAACTATGGGCCAATATTTGAGAAATACTGCTTCAGAATTATTTGAGACAAAACAGACAATTTGAGGATCTGCTATCAGAAATTATGTCTCCTGGTGTTCTTTTCACTCCCCTAACTTTGCTTACCCTTTTTAGAATAAACGGATCAAAAAATTAATAGGTATGAAACGTCTGTGATATTTCTGCAGTACTCCAACTTTCAATATTTTTTTTAATTCTAAGATAAATCAGTACTGAGGACATAATGTACAATATGATCACTATAGATAACACCACTATAGGGTATATACTCAAGTTTTTAACAGAGTAGATCCTAACAGTTCTCATCATAAGGAAAAAAATTTATTTTTCTTTCTCTTTTTTATGTACCTATGTGAGATAATGGATATTAACTAAACTTATTTTGGTAATTATTTCACAGATATATGTAAGTCAAATCGTGATGCTGTACAACTTAAACTTACACAGTGCTATATGACAATTATATATATCTCAATAAAACTAGAAGAAAAAAAAATAAATTTCTCTCACAAAGTATGTGTTGTACACAAGGAAGAAAAGTTACCCATATGACTTTTTAATTATAAAATTGGAAAGATTTGACACAGAAAATGCAATTAATTATAGAAAAACTCTAACTGTTCACGTTTATGTATATGGATTTGCATAAGGAAACTACCTGATAGAGCTATAGATGTCCAATGGGGTCTGATCCTTCTCTTTGGCTAGTCTCATCATATCTAATACAGCCATTCCAAGACACTCTTCTTGTGTTTCATGAGTCACGGGTATTTTTATCCATCCATGTAAAAAATCATGCCGCCACTACAGGAAAAAAATTTAGAAGGAAATATCTCTTAAATTTCACTATCACATTCAAATCTATTATATTGTAACCTATAATTTCTAGAACATATACATTTAAAAAGAACGTCAACTCCTTCATTGATTTTCATTTTGCCATAAAATTTCAGTGAAAGTTTTTTTATCAATGGAAACTGAATACAGTACATATGATGTCAACCTATTTCCCTGCTTGTATCTCCAAATTATATCTTCTACCTAAAAATCACCTAAATTAAGATAGATATTAGCTAATTAAATAAGTAGGGATATAGGGAACAGAAGACACAAAAAGAGTCTGAAAAAAAGCTTATAACTTTATCATTATATATAAAAATGAAGAAAAAGAAAAACAAGAAATTATAAGATTTTGGTCTAGATAATTTGGAAATGAGATTGAACATGTAATGGTAGAAAAGAAAGTCAAAACATAAAAACCACCAATATTCTAAAAAAAAAATAGCAATTTTCTTGATAAGAAAGGTATGATCTAAAATATTAGCTAAAATAGCAATATTTAATCAAGGTTTTATTATTTTTGTAAAAGATTTTATTTATTTATTTATTTGAGAGAGAAAGAAAGAACACAAGCTGGGGGGAAGGGCAGAGGGAGAAGGAGAAATAGACTTCCTGCTGAGCAGGGAGAATGACAACTTAGGACTGGATTCCCAGGACCGTGAGATCATGACCTGAGCCCAAGGCAGACGCCTAAAAGACTGAGCCACTCAGGCACCCCTTAAACAAGGTTTTAAACTGGATAAGAGAAATACAGGGTCACTCTCTTTATTTCATGTATATATCTCCTTCCTTTTAATGTGATAACTTCTCTCATGAAATTAAAGTTTAACACAAATTCTTGAAAAATAATTTAATTAAAAAGAAAACAGGGGTGAGAGCAGACAAGATGGCGGAGAAGTAGCAGGCTGAGACTACATCAGGTAGCAGGAGATCAGCTAGATAGCTTATCAAACCATTGCAAACACCTACAAATCCAACGGGAGATCGAAGAGAAGAAGAACAGCAATTCTAGAAACAGAAAATTGACCACTTTCTGAAAGGTAGAACTGGTGGAGAAGTGAATCCAAAGCGATGGGAAGATAGACCGTGGGGGGAGGGGCCGGCTCCTGGCAAATGGTGGAGCAACGGAGCACAAAATCAGGACTTTTAAAAGTCTGCTCCACTGAGGGACATTGCTCCAGAGGCTAAACCGGGGTGAAGCCCACACGGGGCCAGCGTGGCCCTAGGTCCCGCAGGGTCACAGAAGGATCGGGGGTGTCTGAGTGTCACAGAGCTTGCAGGTATTAGAACGGGGAAGCCAGCTACAGAGACAGAGCCAAGGAGTGAGCTCTCAGCTCGGGGTTATTTTGAACCGGTCGCAGGCTGGGTGAGCTCAGAGGGCGGCTGGAGGCCAGCGAAACGGGAGTGATTGGGCTCTTTTCTCTGAGGGCGCACTGAGGAGTGGGGCCCCGAGCTCTCAGCTCCTCTGGGCCAGAGACTGGGAGGCCGCCATTTTCATTCCCGTCCTCTGGAACTCTACGGAAAGCGTTCAGGGGACAAAAGCTCCCGAAAGTGAACCTGAGCAGATTACTTAGCCCGGCCCCTGGTACGGGCAGTGCAATTCCGCCTCGGGCAAAGACACTTGAGAATCACTACAACAGACCCTTCCCCCCAGAAGAACAACAAGAAATCCAGCCTAGACAAAGTTCACCTACCAATGAGAGCAGCAGAATTCCAATGGAGGAGAAAGCAAAGCACGGAACTCATGGCTTTCTCCCCATGATTCTTTAGTCTTGCGGTTAATTTAATTTTTTTTTCTTCTGCTAAATTTCTTTTAACTTTTACCCTTTTCTTTTTTAATGTTTCACTAGTTTATCTGATATATATAAATTTTTTTCTTTTTTAATATTTTTATTTTATTTGTTTTCTTTTTTCAATTTTTTTTTTTCTGAACTTCTTTTTATCCCCTTTCTCCTTCCCACGATTTGGGGTCTCTTCTGATTTGGTTAAACTGCATTTTCCTGGGGTCTTTGCCACCCTTTCAGTATTTTATTTGCTCCTTCATATACTCTTATCTGGACAAAATGACAAGGCGGAAAAACTCAACACAAAAAAAAGAACAAGAGGCAGTACCGAAGGCTAGGGACCTAATCAATACAGACATTGGTAATATGTCAGATCTAGAGTTCAGAATGACGATTCTCAAGGTTCTAGCCGGGCTCGAAAAAGGCATGGAAGATATTAGAGAAATCCTCTCTGGAGAGATAAAAGCCCTTTCTGGAGAAATAAAAGAACTAAAATCTAACCAAGTTGAAATCAAAAAAGCTATTAATGAGGTGCAATCAAAAATGGAGGCTCTCACTGCTAGGATAAACGAGGCAGAAGAAAGAATTAGCGATATAGAAGACCAAATGACAGAGAATAAAGAACCTGAGCAAAAGAGGGACAAACAGCTACTGGACCACGAGGGGAGAATTCGAGAGATAAGTGACACCCTAAGACGAAACAACATTAGAATAATTGGGATCCCAGAAGAAGAGGAAACAGAGAGGGGAGCAGAAGGTATATTGGAGAGAATTATTGGAGAGAATTTCCCCAATATGGCAAAGGGAACAAGCATCAAAATCCAGGAGGTGCAGAGAACCCCCCTCAAAATCAACAAGAATAGGTCCACACCCCATCACCTAATAGTAAAATTTATAAGTCTTAGCGACAAAGAGAAAATCCTGAAAGCAGCCCGGGAAAAGAAGTCTGTAACGTACAATGGTAAAAATATTAGATTGGCAGCAGACTTATCCACAGAGACCTGGCAGGCCAGAAAGAGCTGGCATGATATATTCAGAGCACTAAACGAGAAAAACATGCAGCCAAGAATACTATATCCAGCTAGGCTATCATTGAAAATAGGAGAGATTAAAAGCTTCCAGGACAAACAAAAACTGAAAGAATTTGCAAACACCAAACCAGCTCTACAGGAAATACTGAAAGGGGTCCTCTAAGCAAAGAGAGAGCCTAGAAGTAGTAGATCAGAAAGGAACAGAGACAATATACAGTAACAGTCACCTTACAGGCAATACAATGGCACTAAATTAATATCTCTCAATAGTTACCCTGAATGTTAATGGGCTAAATGCCCCAATCAAAAGACACAGGATATCAGAACGGATAAAAAAACAAAACCCATCTATATGTTGCCTACAAGAAACTCATTTTAGACGCAAAGACACCTCCAGATGTAAAGTGAGAGGGTGGAAAACAATTTACCATGCTAATGGACATCAAAAGAAAGCTGGGGTGGCTATCCTTATATCAGATCAATTAGATTTTAAGCCAAAGACTATAATAAGAGATGAGGAAGGACACTATATCATACTCAAAGAGTCTGTCCAAAAGAAGATCTAACACTTTTAAATATCTATGCCCCTAACGTGGGAGCAGCCAACTATATAAACCAATTAATAACAAAATCAAAGAAACACATCGACAATACTACATTAATAGTAGGGGACTTTAACACTCCCCTCACTGAAATGGACAGATCATCCAAGCAAAAGATCAACAAGGAAATAAAGGCCTTAAATGACACACTGGATCAGATGGACATCACAGATATATTCAGAACATTCCATCCCAAAGCAACAGAATACACATTCTTCTCTAGTGCACATGGAACATTCTCCAGAATAGATCACATCCTGGGTCACAAATCAGGTCTCAACCGGTATCAAAAGATTGGGATCATTCCCTGCATATTTTCAGACCACAATGCTCTGAAGAGAGAACTCAACCACAAGAGGAAATTTGGAAAGAACACAAATACATGGAGACTAAACAGCATCCTTCTAAAGAATGAATGGGTCAACCAGGAAATTAAAGAAGAATTGAAAAAATTCATGGAAACAAAAGGATAATGAAAACACAATGGTTCAAAATCTGTGGGACACAGCAAAGGCAGTCCTAAGAGGAAAATATATAGCGGTACAAGCCTTTCTCAAGAAACAAGAAAGGTCTCAAATACACAACCTAATCCTATACCTAAAGGAGCTGGAGAAAGAACAAGAAAGAAAGCCTAAACCCAGCAGGAGAAGAGAAATCATAAAGATCAGAGCAGAAATCAATGAAATAGAAACCAAAAAAACAATAGAACAAATCACAAAACTAGGAGCTGGTTCTTTGAAAGAATTAATAAGATTGATAAACCCCTGGCCAGACTTATCAAAAAGAAAAGAGAAAGGACCCAAATAAATAAAATCATGAATGAAAGAGGAGAGATCGCAACTAACACCAAAGAAATACAAACAATTACAAGAACATACTATGAGCAACTCTACACAAACAAATCTGACAATCTGGAAGGAATGGATGCATTCCTAGAGACATATAAACTACCACAACTGAACCAGGAAGAAACAGAAAACCTGAACAGACCCATAACCAGTAAGGAGATTGAAACAGTCATCAAAAATCTCCAAACAAACAAAAGCCCAGGGCCAGATGGCTTCCCAGGGGATTTCTACCAAACATTTAAAGAAGAACTAATTCCTATTCTCCTGAAACTGTTCCAAAAAATAGAAATGGAAGGAAAACTTCCAAACTCATTTTATGAGGCCAGCATCACCTTGATCCCAAAACCAGACAAGGATCCCACCAAAAAAGAGAATTACAGACCAATATCCTTAATGAACACAGATGTGAAAATTCTCACCAAAATACTAGCCAATAGGATTCAACAGTACATTAAAAGGATTATTCACCACGACCACGTGGGATTTATTCCAGGGCTGCAAGGTTGATTCAACATCCGCAAATCAATCAATGTGATACAACACATTAATAAAAGAAAGAACAAGAACCATATGATACTCTCAATTAATGCTGATAAAGCATTTGACAAAGTGCAGCATCCCTTCCTGATCAAAACTCTTCAAAGTGTAGGGATAGAGGGCACATACCTCAATATTATCAAAGCCATTATGAAAAACCCA